TCTACTGATATGATCATGCAATTTTTCTTCTTAAGCCTGTTGATGTGATTGATTATTTTACCTGATTATCGTGCTTGGAATAAATCCCACTTATCCATGTTGTATGATTATTTTTTATACATTGTAAGATTCGATTTACCAATATTTTGTTGAGAACTTACATCTATATTAATGAGCGGTATTGGGTTGTAATTTTCCTTTCCTGTAATGTCTTTGTCTGGTTTTCACGTTAATTCTGTTCTTGTAGAATGAGGTAGAAAGTTTCCTCTGCTTCTATTTGCTGGGAGACATTGTGGAGAATTGGTATTATTTCTTCCTCAATATCTGGTAGAATCTACCAGTGAACCTGTCTGGGCATGACACTTTCTGTTTTAGAAGGCTAATAATTATTGATTCGATTATTTACAAAGATACAGGCCTATTTGGATTGTCAATCTCATTTTGTTGAATTTTGTCCCATTTTGTCTCACTTTTCAATGTGTGTGGACATAGAATTGTTCCTAAAATTGCTGTACCCTCCTTTTAATGCTCTCAGGTATGTAGTAATGTCCCCCCTTTTATTTCTGATGTTAGAAATTTGTCTTTCTCTCCTTTCCCCCTCCTTGGTTAGTCTGTCTAGGAGATTATAGATTTTTATTGATTTTTTTTTCAAAGAACAAACTTTGTTTTCATTGACTTTATTACTTTCCTGCTTCAATTCCACTGATTTCTGTTCCTTTCTTATGTCTTCTCTTTGATTTGCTTTGGATTTGATTGATTCTTTATTTGGTAGCTACCCAAGGTGAAGAGTGTAGATTTTAGATCTTTTTTCCAAATGCACACTGCAGATTTTCCTCTAAGCATTGCTTTTACTGTTATCCCACAGATTTGGATGTTATATTTTAATTTTGTTCCATTTATTTTTCAGTTTCTCTGGAACCTTCTTTTTTGGCCCATGTGTTATTTAGAAGTGTGCTGTAATCGCCACACACTTTGAGATTTCGCCAGCTATCTTTCTGCTCTTGGTATTAGCTTTGTTCCGTTGTGATCTGGCAGCACACGATGTATGATTTGTATCTTTTATATTTGCTCAGGTGTGTTTTATGACCCAGGATGTGGTCTGTCTTATGGACTGTTTCATGTGAGCTTGAGAAGAATGAGTGTTGGGCTGTTATTTGGTGAAGTGTTCTATAAATGTCAGCTAAATCCAGTTAATCGATGGTACTGCTCAGCTCACCTGTGTCTACTGACTCTGCCAGCTCAATCTGTCAGTGACTGGTAGAGGGGTGTTGAAGTCTTCAACTATAAAAAAGTGTATTTGTGCTGGGCGTGGTGACACACGTCTGTAATCCCAGAGACTCCGGAGGCCAAGGCAGGAGGATCGCAAGTTCAAGGCCAGCCTCAGCAACTTAGCGAGGCCCTAAGCAACTTAGTGAGATCCTGTCTCAAAATAAAAAATAAAATAGGCTGGGGATGTGGCTCAGTGGTAAAGCACTACTGGGTTCAACCCCCAGTACCACTCATCCCCCTGTCCCCAATATGTATTTTTCTGTTTTTTATTGTGGCTCCATTAGATTTTATCTTATAGCACTTTTTATAATTCAGTAGACCTGTAAAGAACATCATCAGCTTCCTTAAATGTTTCTCTGCAGACTCTTTTATTCCATCTTTAATTAACCAATCCCCAGCTATTGGGTGTTTCTGGTTTCCATGATGATAAACAGCCTGTGGCTCCTTTCCTCTGTGGAGGAGGTGCTACAGAGACACCCAGCTGACCCAATGAGCAGGCACGTTTTCAGAGAAAAGTTCATGTTCTTCAAACTCAACCTGCATGTTCTGCTTCAGAAGGCCAGGTGGACCTGGCCATCTATGGCTGCTGTGAACGTCCAGGGCTGGACACCATGGCCAGAGCTGTGGATGGCTGATACTGTTTGAAAGTTTGAGAGTGATGGGAGATATTTCCAATCCTCTACTGTGTTCCCTAGGTCGACAGGGTAGAGTGGACATGTGACTTGTACCTGCGTTCTGGAACTCCATGGATATATCCCCACCCTGCATTCTGGGCATCTTGGGCTTCTTTCTCCAGTGCCAGATATTTGCAGTCAAGGACTCAAAGATGGCAAGATGGCCCCAGGCCCTGTGTGCAGAGGGATTTGTAAACACTGCTCTGAGCTGATGGCTCTGCTTCCTACAGCAGCCCAGGCTGGGACTGAGTTACTGCTGTTTAGAGAGGATTATTTGGAAACTTGCAGTCAACAGAGAAACAGAGTGAGCTTCACCCAAACAGTTGAAGAGACCAAATGCAAACTGGGGACACTGTGTCTGGGGCCTAGTGGCCCTCACTCAGGCGGGGACAGCCAGCAGGGGACAGCCAGAAGGAAACAGGCGACACCGTGGTGCCAGAGCTCCAGGGCTTGCCCAGGGCCTAGGGGCTTCCTTTCTCTAAATAACATTGACCAAAAGTCCAAACCAGTACTGATGGGAGATTCTTCCCAGGTGAGGGCGGCACAGAATCATAGCCGAGGAGATGGGTGGATGTTAGCTGTAGTGGCTTCCCTTTGTCTTCTTTGCAGTGTCATTTCCAAGTCAGAAAACACACCATTCTGCACAGTGGACAGGTCTTCTGTGCTCAGTGGAGTCCTTTTTTTTTTTTTAATGTTTTGTTCTCATCACTCACAATTTCCTTCTGTTTCATGTCAAATTTTTGCACCTTTTTTTGCTGTGTGTGTTTATGTTCTCTTTCTAAGTTAGCCAGGGTGTAAACACTTTCCTGGCTCTGACTTGTCTCCCCATTCCTAGAAAGATTTCAAAATTTTCAAAATAAAAAGCTTTCTTAAAAATAAAAACTCAGAGCCTGATATAGTGGTGCACACCTGTAATCCCAGTGGCTTAGGAGGCTGAGGCAGGAGGATCACGAGTTCAAAGCCAGCCTCAGCAACTTAGAGAGGCACTAAGCAACTCAGTAAGACCCTGTCTCTAAATAAAATACAAAATAGGGCTGGGGATGTAGCTCATTAGTCAAGTGCCCCTAATCCTCAGTGCCCCCACCCTGAATTAGTGAGGTCCCAAGCAACTCAGTGAGACCCTGTCTCAGAATAATTTTTTTTTAAAGGGCTGTGGATGTAGCTGAGTAGTAAAGTGCCCTGGGTTCAATCCCTAATCCAAAAAAAAAAAAAAAATATATATACACTCAGAAATGGAGATGCTGGGTTTATTTATTTATTAATTATTAACCAATCAATCAATCAATCAATTTATTAATAAAGCAATTCAGTTTGCTTTATTATTGGAGATGGTCCTGGCACATTCATTTTTTCTGCATTCACTGTCATGATGCTTTGATTTAAAAGTTTCAGAAATTTGTATTATTATTATATTATTGTTATTATTTTTTAACTTCTAGGGGGCATTTCTAAAATGCAGAAATATGGATTGTTGTGGTGGGAGGTATGTGGACTGTGCAATGGCCATCTCCCGATTCCATCTCTGTCCAGTGCATTTCCCACTGTGCCCCAGCCCTGTTGAGGTCAGGTGCTCAAGTCCAGATGTTGCTTTGATTGGCTGCCAGGTCCCCCTCCTCCGTCTCTTTGGGGCACCCAGCTCTCAGAACTGGCCAAACCTGTTTGCTTGAGCAGGCTTATTTGCAGGGTGGTAGTGTTTTCCTGTCAGCCTCCACCAGCTGCAGTTCCTGATGTATTAAGAATACAAACTGATAAAAGAATAAAGGAGCTATACCTGTGTGGGATTCTTGCCCTGGTGGCCACAGAGCATGCCTTTTGGAGTTGGAAGGGGTGGTCCTGAGACACATCTGGACACGGGAGGAGGGTTCAATCCCTGAGGGTGGTTTGCAAAGTGCTTCCCAAGCACCGTTACTCTTCTGGATGGGCCCAGGGGAGGCCTGTAACCAGCTGTCTTGCAGCAGGAGGCTCCTTAGGCAGCTCCCTGGGTCCCTCCAGGCAACTTCAGGAGTTGCACCAGATACGAGGGGGATGCCAAAAGGAAGCAGTGAGGTGACTCCTGCTCCTTGACATGATGCCACAAGCCACCCAGAGTGGAGGCTCACAGGCAAGCCCCAGAGAGAACCTGGGGGGAGGGATCAGGAACAGAGCGGGTGTCAGAGCCTGGGAGGGGCCTAAGTTCTTGGTTGGTGAGACCCTATTTTGTCAGACCTTCTATTTGGCTTAAATTAAAAAAAAAAAAATTATACAAAACCCTCCATTTTTAAATGCTGGGAGGTAACTTTGAAAGTAACACTAATGTTGGCCTGTTTAAAAAAAAACAAAAAAAAACACCAGCAAACCTGGAGAGGTACTGAGAACCTCATGTGTCACAGGCCTGAACCCCTTCCTCAGGAATCCTGGATCCCTCTCCCCAGGAGGCTCAATCCTGAGGACTTCACCAAGAGGGTTGTCAGACTTCAACAAATGGTCCAGTCTCGCTTCTGCAAGTTGTTGTAGAAAATAGAAAAGGAGAGAAAGCTTCCATCTCAGTGTCTCAAGCTAGTGTGATCTTGACCCCAGAGCTCCATAAAGATACAGAAGCAAAGAAAACCACAGGCCCATTTCACTATGAATATAGGTGGAAAAAAATCCTAAATAGCCAAGCAAATGCAACAGTGTGTTTAAAAGAAAACCACACTGTGATTAGGTAGGTTTATCCAGAACTTAGGGTGGTTGGACTTCAGATCGCTCCATCCCGTAGAGCACCTTATGGGGCTGGAAGAAACCATACGGTGTGCTGTGGTGTGGAAGAGAATCCCCCAAAGCTCAGCAAGTGTTTATCATAGAGATTTTTAGCAACTGAGAATGGAGGGAGCTCTCCTTTAGTGCAGGTCTCACACACAAGTCAGCAAACATCCCAGCAGAGGAGCTGTGCTCCATGCCCTTTAGAAGGCCATCTGTGGTTGCTCGCAGGGCTGACTTTCAGGAGGAAGAAAAAAAAAAAGGAATAAGAATTAGAAGAAATAGAGAAGACAAATAGCATCATCTTTGTGTAAGTCCACATGAAATGATAGAAGAACTCTCAAGTTTATTATGAGTGTTGAGCAGGATTCGTGCAATCCCAATTTATAGAAATCAGGGTTAGGAAGCTCAAGAGATCCATAGCTACAGGCAGTTTTTAATCTGTCAATAAGAAAATCAATTGCTCCTCCCCATCACAACGCAGGTATCAGACCCCTGTTAGAAAGAACAGCGGCATGGCAGCCCAGGGTCTAGGAGAGTGAGGGGAGGTAGAGGCAGGAGTGGGGAGCACTCAGGGGGCACCAAGCTGCCATCACTGGAAGTAGGTTTGTTTAGGAAAGGTTATGGGGTGGGGAGCTGAGGAGACAGTTTCAGACCTGCCTGAGGACATGAGATACCTGAATGAAAGGAGGTCTTGCTGGAGTGAGACCATGCCACTGTATTGTTTTTCCCCCAATTAATTTGTAGGTTCAGAGCAGTCCTGGTTGGAATGGCAGCTGGATTATGGGAGGCAGTAAACACAATCTAGAATATAAAGGAGGTAGCTCAGTCATCTTTGAAACAGAAGAGGACTCATTCTACCAGAAAGCACACGAGGAGGCCATGTCCTCCATGGAGCAGGGGGTGGGTGCAGAAAGAGACAATGGGACCATGACATGGGACGGGGTTTTAGCTTCTTTTGCTGCTGTGACTAAAAGGACCCAACCAGAACAACTGTAGGGGAGGAAAAGTTTATTTAAGGGCTCACAGTTTCAGAGGTCTCAACCCATAGCCACAGAATCCACTCCTCAGGGCTCAAGGTGAGGCTGAACATCGTGGCAGAGGGAAGCAGCTCACATGGTGATCAGAAAACAGATTCCACTTGCCAGATACAAAATATATATCCCATAGCCACGCCCCCAATGAACCACCTCCTCCAGCCACACCCTACCTGCTCCCATTTATCATTCAATTAATCCCATCAGGGATTATTTCACTGATTAGGTTAAGCTTCTAATGCAATCTCCTCCAAACCTTCTTGCATTTTCTCATATGTGAGTTTCTGGGAGACAGCACATCTAAACCATAACAGAGACCTGAAAGAACATGTGGTAGCTTAATGCTTTACAAATGTGAGAAGCCATTCAAGGCAGTAGCTGGAGCAAGGACTTTGGAGCCAGATTGCTTGGTTTTGAATCCACCTACTACCACTTAGTAGCTGTGGACTCTCACACAAGTTCCTTAGCCTCTCTGTGCCTCAGTTGCCTTCTTACCCACAAAAGAGGAAAATGGGAGCAATGATAATAAATGTTACAGGTTGTTGTGAGAATTAAATGAGCAACTATACAGGAAACCATGTATCAGTTTTCTAGTGCTGCTGTAACAGAATACCACAAACTTGGTGGTATAGTTCTGGAGGCTGGAAGACTGAGATCAAAGTATGGGCCGGTTTGACCCTCCTGAGGGTTGTAAGGGAGGCTTTGTTCCTGGCCTCTGCCCTCAACTCAGTGATGGCCATCTTCTCCTGTGCTTATTCACAAGACCGTCTCCCTATGTGTGTATCCCCATTGTAACAACATGGGACATATTGAATTAGGTTCCTTCTCCTCCAGTATGACCTTGTTTAATTAATGACACCCGTAGGGATTGTGTTTCTAAGTTAGGTCCCATTCTGAGGTCCTGGGGGGTTAGAACTCCAGAATGGGCCCCTGGATACTGTGTTGTGTGTGCAGTAGTGATGGATTGATGAGTAACCTGCCAGGGAAATTGACTGTCTAGGAACAGACAGGACTGGACCCCTATGGGATTGACTAAAGACCAAAAATGGATGTGGAAATGGTGTATTTAGCAGAAGGTAATTGCTATGGGCTGAATTGTGCCCTTCCCCCAATTCCATATGTTGAAGCCCTGACCCCCAATGTGACATTTGGAGATGAAACCTTTTGGAGGTCATGAGGATGGGGCCCTTTGACAGGGTTAGTGGCCATATAAGGGGATATAGGGACCAGAGCTGCTTCTGCCATGCAAAGACACAGTGACAAGGTGGCATTGCAGGTCCTCATGGAACGAACCTGCTGGCAATTCTACTTCCTTCTGGCTCCCAGGATGGTGAGAAACAAATGTCCTGTTTAAGCTGCCTGATCCATGGTGCTTTGTCATAGCGGCCCAAGCTGAATAACACAGAAATAAAGGCTTGCATTTGGTGACGTGGTTGTTGGAAGCAGTTTCTTAAGCCTACAGTGGACAAACGGATGAAAGAAATCTGCTTGACCAAGGGGCACATGCAAACATTGACAGGAAGCTAATTGCAAAAAAAAAATATTTGCAAAATCTAAAATGGACAAGTATTCCTATAAATTGTCAGGAAAAAAAAAGACACCAACCTGCTGTCAAGATGGGCAGACAGTGAGAACAGGAGAGGAAGCGTGCCAAAGAAACAGACCCTCAGAGAGAAGCCCAGACATAGAGCTAAGAAGCACACAGTAAATGGAACTCACATTGCAGCTCATGTGTGTTGCCTTGACCCAGGCAGACCCAAGATGCATCGTGCTTCCTGAGGCCTGCAGCACAAAACTCTTTATGGGATCAAGATCTGTCTTAAGAGAAAACAAACAGACAAAAGCAGATACTACAAACGTCTTAGCTCAGGTGGACTGGGAGTGGAGGGGAATAACTATATAAATAAAACAAGAACAGTCAGTGAGCATTGGGAGCGGAGGGCTACATGTTTGCACCCAAGGTTTAAGAAAGGATGCTGGAGGTGGGGTGTGGTCAGATGGACAGTCTGTGCTGTTGGAACAGTGGAGACCTACCCCTAGGGCTCCACTGTGTGCTGAGCAAATGGGTATGTATGCAGGAGGATGGGTCTGTGGATATGGTTCCTGCCTTCTGCCTCTCTTGCTCTTGTGTACCTTTGCTCCCATCTACAGAGATCTGTGGTCAATGGAGTGTTCTGTCCAGGCAGCCTCTGACCTTTGGGGGGGCCCTCAGAACATCTCTAGAGAGGCCTCATCTTGCTATGAGAGTGGGGGGCTGTTTCCAGTGCAGGGGGGCAGGGAGGCAGGATCCTCATGGTGGACCCACTGCACCATAGGGCCTAGAGTCCTACCCGGCATGGTCCCTGGTACATTCTGGGGCCCTCAATGATGGCCGTAGCATAGGTTTCAGAGCCTGCTACCCTGGCCCAGGCTTGCTGCACCGTCACTGCCTTCTGAGCCTCCATCTCCCCATCTGTAGGGTGGGAAAAATAAGGGGCCCTAGTTGTGAAGGTGAGTGCAGGAATGTTGGTGAGGTTTGCTCCTGGGTGGAGGGTGCTGGGTGCAGCCCAGGACTGGGGTCAGTTGCTGGTGCTCTAATACAGAGTTGCTTCACGAAGTAGGGGCTTTTTCCAAAACCAGGAGTCCTAGCTTGTGTCACCCCATCCTGGAGTTGTCCAGGGAGGCAGATCAGTTCTGTTTTGGATATACTGTTGTGTGTTTTATTCATGGAAAGTGACACTAAAGGTTGACAGCATGTAGCCTGACAGTGGCCTAGGATTTGCTTTCTGTGGATCTCTGGAGGTACTGAACCTGTGTCTGTCTGTCCTGGCTGGGTGTGGAGGGCACAGTTGGCAGGAATGGCTCTCTCCCTGTGTGCTCAGGACCCTCTGTCCTGCCCCAATGACAGGAGGATCACAGTCACGTTACCTGGGCCATGCATGTGTCCACTGACTTGGTCACTAGCCTCATACTATACCACTGCCATACCTGCCCAAGGGTTTGGGGGAGGATTGTTGGGAGGGGGTTTCTGGAAACATATCCTTAGCTGAGGATTCCTGTGTGAGTACTTGCTGAGACCCAGGATCCCTTTCTGTTCAGGAAGAAGTATGTGACCATTGCCAAGAGAAGGGGACTTGGTTGCCACATCTTAGCATGTGATCCTCCTGCAGGGCCCTTACTAGGGAACCCCGAGCCTCCTCGGCACGTATTGGAAGCATGTTAAGCTTTTAAAGGTCAAAAAGCTTTGCCAAATTGCTCACTTGCAGCAACTTAGAGGAGAGGCCGTGAAGTTTAGCATATGTAGTTTCTAGAGGTGTGTTTGGCACATTGGACAGTTTGAAAGTATGTCTGGCTGTGAATAAGCTGCTGGTTTCTATCCCATATGCATCCAAGTGCATTATGGGGTTGGAGTCTGCACCACACTCCGATAAGCATGTTTTAACATTTTAAAGTCTGGATTTTGCCTTTTCTGGATGCTTTCAAAATGTTAAGGGCCCCCCAAGTCTACCCTCAGTAGTAGTTGTAGAATTTCCCAATGAGGAATTGCATCATTTAAAAAACATAGATACATAAATTAACTACAGATCATAGAAAATACACATGAAGTACACACAATCAAACAAGGAGAAAGAAAGGACACATTAGGATAACAGTTCCATCCCCCCCACTCCCACACCTGAAAATTGCTGTCACTGAGACTGTACCAAATTTGGTTTTGTTTTTTTTTTTTCAAATTGCACTGATTTTCTGACCATTCCCCCACCACCACACACACACACAGTATCTTTTCACTGGTAAACATCTTTCTTCTTTATCATGTGTATCCATATCCCTATTTTAAATGACCACACACTATCATATTATTTAGAAGTACTATGATTAATTTGACAAATCCTTAATTATACATTTTTGGGGGAGTTTTGTTTAATGTAAACAGTGCTTTGGTGAATATCATTGTACATTTGTCTTTTCATATTCCTTCAATTATTTTTTAAAAATAAGTTTCTGCTGGTCATGGTGGTGCATGCCTGTAATCCCAGTGCTCCGGAGGCTGGGGTTGGAGGAACCCAAGTTCAAAGCCAGCCTCAGGTATTTAACTAGGCCCTAAGCAACGTAGGCCCTGTCTCAAAAATAGAAAGGGTTGGGATGTGGCTCAAGGGTTAAACACCCTGGGTTCAATCCTCAGTACCCAAAACAAACAAATAAATAAACCAAAATGAGTTCCTAAATGTGGAGCTGATAATTGAAAGGTCGGTAGCACGGAAACCTTTGTTGTTTGCTACAAATATTCATAGAAATGGTATTTGTAGACATTTAGCCTTCAATTAATTTCCCATTCCTCACTCTTCCCTTCCCACCCACTCACCCAACCACTCATCCACTCATTTATCTACCCATCCACCTACCTACCCATCCATCCATCCTCCCACTCATCCATTTACTCACCCATCTGTCCACCCATTTATTCATCCAATCATCCATTCATCTATCCATGCATCCACACTTCCTTTCCCTCCCTCCCTCCCTCCCTCCCTCCCTCCCTCCCTCCCTTCCTTCCTTCCTTCCTCCCTCCCTTCCTTCCTTCCTTCCTTCCTTCCTTCCTTCCTTCCATCATACTGCACTGCATACCTGCAGTGAGTTGGTCCTAGGGCTGAAGATGGCAGACTGCAGTGACATGTGGTCTTCATTCTGCAAACTCAGAATTAGGAGGCAGAAGTCCTGAGGGTGAGAAGCACCAGAACTGAGGTGCTACAGGCAGGGGAGGCACAGATGGAGAGTGGCTTGGGCGAAGACTTCCAGCAGCTTGTGGTCTCTGGGCTGTGGGTCAGGTGAGAGTTGGAATCTGGTCACAGTGGATTCATTTGTGTCCAGGCCAGGGTATGGACAGGACCCAAGATAGTCAGATCTCTGGACAACATCCTGATCCAGCACCATGGGCCAGCCCTGGCCTTGCTAGCTTGGGCTCCTTTCTGGTCACTTGCCTGAAAAGAACTGGGGTGTCCACCCAAACACTCATGTCCTTAGCCTCCCAGCTCCCAGAAAACAGTCCAGGGTACTGAGGGAGAGTGTGAGAGAAAATTGGAGAGAGACAGAGAAATGGAAGAAGAAGGAAGAGGAGCCTGCTCTGTTTGCAGAACATGCAGAACACTACACTCAGGTATTCGGTGGTTTTAAAGAAATGCAGCTTAAAACACCCAGGGGAGGCCAGGCATTAGGGAGGGTGGCAGAGTAGGAACACAGGCTTAATGCTGACGGGAGGGTTGAAGACAGCCTTACCTCTTTCCAGATGCTCAACTTGAACAAAGTGTCCCGTTTCCTTGTCTAAAGGACAGAGCTTATTGTACTTCTGACCTATTGAGATGGGTAGAGAGAATAGGGATGAATGAAGGGTTCTTGGGACAGTGCCCAGCCTGACCCTAGGTGCCCACTAGAGGTGATAGCTGCTATTTTTCTCTCCCATGGAGTCTGGGCACAGGGCTTTCTGCATCCCCGGAACCCAGCATACCTCTAAGGCTTAAGTGAGAAGCCAGTTCCTCTTGGCAGGGGTGAGGGCCCAAATGTGAGGGGGTTTAAAATCTGTGCCAGTGGCTTTGGTAAGACCTTCCAGAGGTATCTTCTGGATCAGGATAGAAAATTGTTTTTTCTTTTTATGGACAGAGGAGTCCAATGCCTTTTAATGCCATTAGCGCTGAGAGAGGGGAAGGGATTGGGTTTTGTCTGAAAGGATACAGACACTGGAAAAGGAGGCCCAGCCTTTGGGCGGAGAGAGTGGGCAGAGTTGACCTGAGCTCAAGTCCACAGCCTCAGGCCTTCATCCATTGTGAGCCAGAGAATAACAAAGTCTCTTCTGAAGGGAAACCAGGCTCCCAGGGCCGGGCTCTCCCTGCCTCCCTGTTCAAAGTCAAAATTCGTGGCTTCTTCATCTACCCAGGATGCAGTTCAGGGGCACCTGTGTCGTCATTCAGAGGTGACTGAATGCCACCTGGCAGACCCACCTGGGTGTGCAGAAAAGTCTGCTGGGATTGATACCAAGGACCAAGTCTCCCAGTCTGGAGATCTAAATCCCCCAGAAAAAGGTTTTAGCCCACACCAGCCTTGGCCCAGGCCCAGATGGCGGCACAGCAGAGTGCAAACCCTGTATCCTGGGGGGATGCTGTTGGACTTTTTTGATCCCCCCACCCCCAATCCTGGGGAGCTCTGGGATATGTATTGTGGCCCAGTTTGTGACTGCAGACATGTGGATGTGGGCAGGGATGGATGCACAGGCGATACTGGGTGGTTCAAGGACAGTGCCAGAATTGTACATTTTCACCTGGATGACCTTCAGAAAACCGGTCAAGAGGGAGAACAAAATTGCCAAAGTTACTTTGATAAAGATCAAATAATAATGGCCTTTTTCATGGATGCACATGTGTGATGTGACAATTCAGAGCAGGCTTGGGGTGGTAGCAACTCCCACCATGCCCTGGGGTCTTTGAGGCCTGATAGCTTTGCAGAGGAGAGAGGTCTACAGGAGGTGTGGGACAAAGAGGACACTAGCCCAAGCCAATTGGAGGGTATGCAGTGTCTGTTTGATTATTTATGGCATTTAAAAAATATTCTACCACTGTGAGTTGAGATTTTTGTTTTAAATGAGGGAGGAATTGGAAAATCATTTCTCAAAGATCTGTTCCTTCCGAGAGTCCTTATTCTGTGGTTTTAAAGAAATGCAGCTTTAAAAAACCAGGGCTGAGATGACTGCGGCAGATGCACCAGGGATGCAGTGGCCAGGATACACCCGCCAGGGAACGGATGCCTGGGGCAGCTGTGACCTCCCTACAGCCCCTGTGGGGCGCTGCCCTGCTTCTCCCAGAGAAGGCAGGAAACAAAACTGGGTTGTTACCCAAGTTAGGAACAAAAACTCAAAAGAAGCATTTCTTAAATAGACAGAAAACAGCCACTATTTTAAGAATTACTTATTTATATTCTCTGGACCCTGGAAATGGGAGGCTACAGTACTGTTTGGGTCTTTAATCTTGCATTTGCTTCCCAGGCAGCTCTGTACATTCTGGAGCCAGTGAGCACCCAGGTCCTCTGCCACTTACCAGTCCTGCAGAGGCCTCCAAGAATCTCCTTTAAGAACAGTCAAGGAAGCCACTCTTGAAGTTTCAGAGTGATGTGCGTCCTTTCTGGGGTCTCTGACACGCTGTCCCTTGCCGTGTTGTTTCCATAGATTCTATTTTGGGGAGCCAAGCATTCCAGGGGTGGTTATTGCATTTCAAGGGAGCAGTGCTGATGTCTCTGACCATGTTCTGGTGACAGTCTTGGTTAGATGGAGGGGCCAGGAATAGGTACAGCTCTCTGTCCCAGCCAACCACTTCGTCCCCACTTCCCCAGCATCTCTGCCAGCTCGGGGATGTGCCAGCTCCTCTGCACTTCCCTTGGCATCCTGTTCAAATGGCCCATGTCACCTCTAAATTTAGAATTAGATGGCCAGGCTGCCGGGTTGGCATAGCCCATGCCCTAGCGCCACTGGCTCGTGGGGTCAGTGTGTGGAAGATGATCTGTGTTCCCAGCACAGAGGCACTGAACTCACATCTCATTTCCATATTCAGAGTCCAGAATTCCTCTTGGATTAGAAGTGTCTTCCCAGAAAGAAAGGAAAAAAAAAAGGAGATTGATGGCTGTGTTCCAGTGGAATTATGTTCACAATCTATAGTGACTTTTGTTCTTTAAGCAGATCCAAAGGACAGGGTATAATGAAATCCCATTTTTGTAAGGAGCCAGAGAGTGAGCTGCATCTGTGCTGAATGGACCCGGAGGGTGGGATACCAGGGCCCATGGTGGAGATCTCTGGACCATGGAACTGTGGTGGGCTTTAAGCCTTGCTCCTCTACTTATGAGGATTTTCTCATTTTCCCTGATGACTTTGATTTCAAGAAGGCTGTGTTCTGGCAAGTGGAAGCAGGAGTTTATGCATCAAGAGAGGCAGGTATAACTCATGGTGCCACCTGCAGCCCCCAATCAGTGTTGCTTTGTTTTTCAGTGACATCTTTGATGCCATGTTCCCTGTCACTCACATCGCCGGGGAGACAGTCATACAGCAAGGTATGTTCTGCCACCTCAGAGCCTTGGCCCCCAGGAGATGTGAACTTGAAACATATTAGCATGAACCACTCATTGTTTGTCTTTGAGAAAATTTACTGGTGAAACCTGAGAAACTAGCAAAACTCTAGTTGACCTGATAAATTTCCATAATCTACTTGTCATTAAATACATTGGATGAGGCTGGGTGTGGTGGCACACACCTGTAGTCCCAGCAGCTCAGGAGGCTGAGGCAGGAGGATTGCAAGTCTAAAGTCAGCCTCAGAAGCTTAGTGAAGCCCTAAGCAACTTAGCAAGACCCTGTCTCAAAATAAAAAATAAAAAGTTTGGGGATGCGGTTCAGTGGTAAAACACCCTTGGGTTCAATCCCCAGTGTATACCCCCCCACACACACGTGTATGTATATTAGAGATCTTCAGATGTTTCCATATGTAATATGTATATTTTGTCTTGTATGAATCTTTTAGAGAGCCCACACATTCCAATAACTGAATGTATCCATATATATATACACATACATACATACAGAGAGAGAGAGAGAGAGAGAGAGAGAATGTGTGTATGTGTGTGGGTGGGTAGGCTGTGACTCATTGGCAGAGGGTTTACCTAGAATGTAAGAGGCCCTGGTTTCATCTGACCCGGATGAGACTCAGGATATTGCTGGCCCCTCCGAACAATGTAGGCACAGTTTCAAGAGAAACAGAAACACTCTAACTCATGTGTCCCAACTTGGCCTCACGCACCTCTCCTCTCTTTGTTGCAGGGAATGAAGGAGATAATTTCTACGTAATTGACCAAGGGGAAGTAGATGTGAGTATTGATTACTATTTTTGGAAAACAGGCTTCTTCCCATGTCTGGTTTGAAGACTTCACATTGTTCATCATTGGGTTGCAAGCATAGGTCTGAAGCATTTCTCTAAGTGATGTCATCCTAATGTTTTGTTTATTTATTTGTTCCTAGTGCTAGGAATCAAACCAGGCCCTGCAAATGTGAGGCAAGTGCTCTACCACTGAGCTGTGCACCAGCTCTGTTTCTAATGTTTCAATCAATAAAAACAACACATTTCATTTAAAAGGTAGTGTAGGAATACCCCATCGCAGCACAGTGGATGATGGAGCTGTGGGCAATACCAGTGGCAGCCATGGCCCTGGGCTGTCCACTTGGCAGAGGGCCAGAGCATGGAGGGCAGGTACATGCTGTTCTGCTTGACTTAGAGCTACCTCTAAATCAGTAGCTTGTGAACAGGCCAGTCTTACATCCACTGCCATTTGCCACAGTGGGTGGGGAGTCACAGGCTCGCAGTACCAACCCCCGTGGGGTGACAGTGACTTCGTGACAGCATATCGCCATTCAGAAGCGGAGCTGCACCATGCTTATGGAGAGTTTTCCCCACCTTCAATATTCCAAGAACCAAGAGCCACACTTAAAAGGAGCGGCCATCACTGCTATGCAAGAAGTGTCCCCTGCTCTGGAGATCCCACCTTGGCCCTTGGTCCAGCCTCCCCCACCTTCCTGCCTCCTTCCTCCTTGGCCACCCCATCTGAGCCCAGGTGCCCTGGCTTAGAAGACCGTGGAGTCCCTTTGCTGGGCTCCTTGCTCTGCAGGCTGCTCTGCCCTCCTCTGAGCTAAAGGCCTGTCTTTTCCCAAACCCGCCATAAGTCTGTTTCTCTTTGGATCAGGCTGGGGCCCTGATGCGATTCACAGGGTGGGGCCTGAGTGAGTCCCCCTGGAGCCCGCCTGGCACTGTGCTGTCCCTCTGCCAAGACCTCTGACTCCCCTAGGCAGGGTCACTGTGAGTGCCCACTTCTCCTTTTGGTGTCCTTTTAAATGTTACTTCCTCAGCTTGGGCGTCAGCAGACACATCCAATTTCTCACCCTGTAGGCGCCCTTCCTTCATAATTCAGTTTGTGTTTTGTAGTTTTTTTAAAAAGTAGTTTTTTTAAACAAGTTGTTTCCACTACAGCCAGGAAGCAGTCTGAAGGTAGAGACTGAGTCTGTCCCACATTTTGGAGATCCTGAGTCCTTAGACACCTCTGCTTCCCAGGCCAGCTACCAAGTCCCTTCTGGACTGGGGTGCAGCTCAGCTGTGCCTGCCCCCACCAGATTGTGCCACCATCCGCAGAGGACCCACCTTGCCCCTAGGTAGCCCCTGTAGCTGTGCAGTCATGCCATGCCCCGCTGCCCCAGGCAGAATAAGCTATTTCAGGGCCTGGCCCCTGGCCCCCCAGCCTCTGTCCAGTCTAGGCTATTTTGGGGAAGGGCACTTAGTCACTTATTTCCCCAGCGCCCATCTGTGTCCACTCGCTGCCGTGTTTCTGGGAACCAAGCGGGCGTACCCGCTTCCGGAGTTGGCAGCACAGGAAGTGACTCACCTCCAAAGCCCTGCCGGGGGCTCAGGCTGAGTCCCCTCGAAGATTTCTTTGTCATGAGCCCTGGAGCTTTGTCTTGAGCTGAGTCTGGCAGCTCTGTCCTAACCAGGTCTCTGTGGGAGCCTTTGTGTCTTGGGGATCCTGTCTCCCCCAGAGAAGGAAACTGAGACAGGAGCTAAAGGTCTCTGGTTGCTAAGCTGTGGAGGATGTGCAGGGAGGAGGAGGAGGAGGAGAAGAAGGTGACCGACCTGTGGCCACAGGCACCTCCTGCTGCCTCCTTCAGGGTTAGCAGAGGAGATGGGAGCATGGGGCTGCTCTGCCTACCTCACCTTGCCTTGGCCTATCCCAGGGGTGGCGTGTGTTCCTGGCATGGGGTATGGGTCCTGTCCAAACCCAGGCCTTGTGGTGGGGTGGCACAGGCCAGGAGTGAGCTCAGACTCCAGTTCTGGGTGGGGCAGGTCTGAAGGTGCCTGTGGCTCTGCTGCCTGGTCCATGATGCTGAGGAGCAGAGGGCAGAGTGTGTGTGTTGGGGGGGGGGGGCTTGCTCCTAGTTTCTCCCAGCTGCCCTCCCAGTTCCTAATCTCACACTGTTCTCATCTCCTGGCCCCCCAAACATCCCCACTCTTCCCCTCCATTCTGCCTAAATGTGTGCTGGCACTGGCCTGTGAATGCTCCTGGGGAAGGAGGACAGCCCTGCCCAAGGGGTGGGGGTGGTTGACAACCAATAGGAAGTTAGTAAACAGTGTCTCACCTCAGGACCGCAGCCTTCTGGTGCCCTCTTCTTCCTTTGTGTCTTCCACACTCCTGTGTCTCCCCCAAGACCCCCCCCCCAGGCCTGCTCCTCTGCCTGCTGTGGGGGTAGATGCCACCCTGAGCAGGTGACCGAGGACAGATCCTCCTTGCCTCCAGGAGCCCCTCAAGAGTCCCAGCCTCGACTCATAGTCTTCTTCCCTCCCGTGGAATGCTCTTCCCTGTCCGTATTCCCTGAGGTCCTGTGAATCTCCCAGCTCCACCCAAGAACGCCTTCAATTTGGGAAGAACAGAGGGATTGAGATGACCCCAGGGAATCCTGAACTGTGTATTTTTGTTTCTCCTAAGAGAATGGGTGTGGGAGACAGAGTTCCTTCATGGAGCCTGAAGGGCCTCACTGGGGAGTCCCAGGAGATGCTTCTTCCAATACGCATCTAAAGGAAGTTGGTGGGCGGGTCCGAGCAGTGAGTGGGTTTTGCAGGAGGGTTTGGGCTCCATCCTTCCCTGTTCAGGCTGCCTCATCTCTGTACTACTCACAGGGACATTAACAGAGACCAAAGTCCCTGCGTAGAGCCCTCCATCTCCTCCATTCCGTCACCTCCCACCCTTCTGGGCAGCCCCACCCACACCTGCCTCCCACACGGGTGCCACCATCAGCCCCATACCTGTGGTGGCCCAAGCTTGTCCTGGTCCTGAATGCAGTGATCACCCTCCTTCCACATGTCAGGCCCATTGAAGGTGCCCAGGGAGGCAGGAGGTGGGAGGATGCTAGCCTGTCTTGTCACCTGTGGCCCACAGGCTGTGACTGCCCATTAGCAACTGCTGGTGCACAGTTTCCCAGTTGGCTTAGCTGGTTGGCTATGGGAGAGCACCCAGGAGGCTCAGGGTTCCCCGTGTGCTTAGCCCCAGCCACACGGCCATGTGCAGAAACCCTTATCTGCCCCACATCCGTTGGACTCACACTCCTTCCTCTTCTCATTGCAAACAATGATGTGCTATGCCATCGACCAGACCTGACCCTCTGCCCTGATTCCCTTGAGCATCAAGTGTGGGGTGGCAGGGGACTGACATGGCCCCACCTTTGTCTGAGCCCTCCCTTTGAAGCAGAGTCTGAGTCTTCTTGAACCTGAGGCTCATCCCAGCAGGACCCCTCCCAACCACAGAGGGGCTGCCACAGGGTCCAGGCCCCTGGCATCATGCCACGGGGTTGGGAGATTTCCACCCTTTCAGCCAGGTCTCATCCTGGCTGCCCTGTGATCCTGGTGGGCAGTGCTGCACCTGGCTCCCCACCAGCCCAGGACATGTGGAAACAATTTCGTGAAGGAAGAGGTGAGGTCATTCCATATAACTGGAATTCCCCAAGTACAATATCTGGCAGATCCAGGCTCTCTGTCCCCCATCTACACCCGCTCCCTGCTCCAGGCTCAGGTACAAAGGTAGCAAGCACTAAGGCCCTTGCTGGACCCCTGCTTACCAGGGCCAGATGTCTGGGTGCCCCTGGTGGTTGTCTGGTTCTTGGGCAGCCTCAAATTTGGGACATCCAGGGTGCTGATAGCTCAAGGCTGTGACCTGGTGGCTGTAGTGGAAGGGAGCACCAGCCTTCCTGCCCCACCAGGGCTGTATGTGAGTGCCCGGCACCT